GGGGTAGGGAACTTAGAGGCACAAACTGTAAGATTTAAAAGAAGCTACCAGAATATATTGTACAACACGGGGAGTATAGCTACTGTTTGATAATAACTCCAAGTGGAGTATAACTTTGAAAGGTTGTGAATCACTGAACTGTACACCTGTAATTTCTGTCACCGTGTTATACATCAACTATACTTCCGCAACAATAAAAATGCAACCGGAGACCAAAAGATATTCCAATAATTAGACCAACAGGAAAAATGAGAAACAGTTTTAAAAAATACTACCAATTATGGTTGTAAGACATGATGAATTTGAAATTGCCTTCCCATGCCAGAGATGTTAAACTGTGAGAAAATGAGCATCTTAGAATCATTGAAGTCCAGTGTTCTCTCTGATCCTTACAGAAGCAAAGTAGGTGTGATACCATTTTACTTCATTGAAATGCTGTCTTTGTAAAATAGTAGTGAGTCATGATTATATTGTCAGACAGCAACTGAGCTGTTACTTGTGCAAGGAACTGTTGCAAACACTTTGCATGGATTTTCACTGAAGCATCACAGCCGTGTCCTGTGAGATAACTCCTACTTCATCCCTGTTTGGTTGATGAGGAAATTGAGGCACAGAAAGGCTAAGTGGCAGCTTGTAAGTGACAGTTAAAGTAGAAGTCCGGCCCAAGTTGAGCTGAATCTCGAGGTCATGCTTACTATTCAAACAGGTTGTTCTTCCTTTAATGTGGTGAGTAATAAGAGCTTATAAATAGTGTTCTTCCTGCATAAGGAAACTGAGTATTTCTTTTAAAGGGGTAGGAAGAGCATGCTATTGAATGTTTCCAGTGATATGAGTAATTGTATGTTTGAACTACTACGCTCTAATGTCCTAAAAAGTTGTCTCCCGTTCATAGGACGGCCCTCCATTTGGCCTCTGCCAATGGCCACGGAGGCGTGGTGACTCTTCTTCTGGAGCGAGGCTGCCAGATCGATGCCCGGGACAGGAAGAAAAGGACGGCGCTGATCAAGGTGTGTAGCAGCCAGCCGTGCCCACATGAGGTGGAGTCCATGTAATGACTTAAAACTGAATTGGTTTGGTTTAAGCATAATGAACCGCTGGGACTTGTGGCATGTTGACTTGGAATTCCTGGCACTTACAGTCTGTTT